TCACCTTTGAAAGGTAACTGTAGGTACACTGGTTTCTTGGGCACATCAGTTGCTATCAGCTTCGTCATAGTTGTGTTCTGATGACCTAGCCCATCATCTCAAAATCGATCAAGAAACCCAGCCTCGTCCATTGCAAAACATCTAATGATGGGTGGTCATCAAACTGACCCAAAATCAGCCTTTATAGAGTTGTGATATGTCATCAAAACCCACACACACACACTGAAACTACTCGAAGCTATCTTGATCGGTCAGAAAAGTCCAACTTTATGTGTTCAAAAACAACTAACTGTATGTTGACCTATGTTTACCATGGTTCTAGTGAGTGAATGTCATGCTAAATAAGAAATTTTGACCTTATCTTCAAAACTGCATTTACACACAAATAACATGTTGCTTGTTGTATGTGACTGACGACAAAGCACGAAATGGTACTACTATCTCACAAAATATGTCTTCTTATTTCTCGATTCAAATGCACTAACGTTTTTTTGCGAGTATACTATGTAATCGTAGCATAACACTTTTGGGAACATCGGTAAATTTTTATTTTGTAAAACAAAACTAACAACTGTTATATTCGATGATTTCATTTTTTTATCAAGTTGTACAATAATATTTATGAATAATTATTTTTACAAATGGTAGGGAAGTGTTATACAGTATAAAAATCAGAATTATTAAAACTACTTAAATATTAAAGATTCCTATTGTGAAAATTTAGAACAACACGCATATAAGCGAACAATATTGTTGTTTTCGATTCGATCGTCATCAGGCTGCTTTACTCTCTGATATACATGAATATTTATCATGATGAAAATGTCCAACCACTCAAGTCAATTTGAGTCATAATCATAATGAAATGAAAAAGATTACGTCACTACACACATAATAGGCAAGAGTACAAGTGGATAATAGGAAGACAGGTGTACTGATAGTAGTTAGAAAATTATAAAATATGATAAGTTTTGTCAATAGTAGGTCAAACGTGGATGAATAGACTTCAAATAATCATTAAAAACATCAAAACCATTACATAATAGGGAAATGTGTAAGAATAAATTAAAAAATATAATGTCAATCGTTAGTTACGTCATATCCGGCTACGGAAGAGATAGGGGTGTCACGAATTTCTTCTGAACACATAAATTAGGATTGAATGTACGTATTCCTATGGCTTCTGCGATGTGTAGGAGACGGGATCGAACTCCGTCGGGAAATGATGGAGGTATACGAGATAGATCACCCGAAAATATCTAGATTTATCTACAATATGACCATTAGCGATCAGGTGTGCTAAGATAGAACTGCGTATTAATTTTGACTGATCCTTCGTAAACCATGCTGGGAGATGTTCACTCATTCGTTCGAGAAATTGAATGATAAAGCATAATTTCATTAAAAGTATCCAAAAAATTTCAGGCATTAATTAGAAATAGATGAAAGTTTTCAACTTACAACTGTAAACTCTGCAGTAAGTAATCAGAAATAATAATCCTTATATGTGCAGCCCAAAAGGAAAGTCTACTTTACAAGATTATAATTAAAGACTTGCAATTTGTGAAAATCAATAAAGATAATAAAATCATGAAACGATAAAAGGACTAGACATGACTCTTCTGTATATAGAAATCAGATTTTGTTTTATACAGCTTCAGTTGTGTATGAATGTTTAAACTCCAAACTTCCTTCAGTTGATTCTTTTTGATTTTATAGAAAATCCTAAGCAATGAACTATACATACTCGATAGTAGTGATTGATTAACTACTCAGTTAATACATTTCTAATCCTAGAATCATAATTTGACTAACTGAATTAGATTATTGAAATTGAGCATACATATCAGCTAGTTACTAATAAAAATAATAAGTAGTAAAATGTGCCGGCATAGTATTTTTTTTACAAATCGAATAAGATCGACAGATAACTGAATTGGAATTCAATCATTGAATGAATGGTAAGCGCGTTGAAGAGATCTGCTTGCAATCGATAAAACTTCTTCCCATTCTGTTCTCTATGGGATTCAAACTAGCATAGTCCAATTTTACAGACATTCGTACCGTTTTATACAGGCAACAGATGACAGACAGTATGTGACTGTAATGCTCACATTATTCAATCATCGAACTATGTAATGGCTAGTTTAATTTCGTTGACTAAGTTGGTTTTGTTTTACAAAAAAGGAGAATTTATTATTGTTCCAAAAAGTGTTACATTACGATCATAAAGTAACCTAACAAAAACTTGGTACATTTCTTAAATCTTTTGGGGTTGTTAGATCCCCAGAACTCGCTCGATAAATATCTTAATTTGGATTTACTTCATGGACCGATCAGTTGAGCTTGAGATCATATTTCCCACCAGGAAAATCCTTAGCTGTGATTGGTTACTATCACTTTAGTGTGCTAGTTTTGTGACTGTCCCAAGGACGTCCCTATAGACTATAAATAAACGCAATTTGAGTGCTTGGAATCATTGTGTGCTGGCTGGGAGTTTGTAGAATACACTTTCTACGCTATATCAAGACTTCTTGTTGATTCAATTTGGCCAAGGGATCACAGTAGCCTACCTGGACGATGGTTCATTGTTTGTCCTCGTTATTCGTCTAACGTGAAATCGTTATAGTTTAAGCACACCTAGAGTCGATGTTAACGTAAAATCTCTCAATTTTATATCAAACAATGTAAATCTTGTATTTATGCAGTTTTGATGGACACATGGAACAAGAATTCCACCAACCAGAAGTCCCCGAAAACATATATTGCCAGTAATTTTTCATTTTATGACTAAGTGAAATGAAAGGAGTTGCAGTGATATGATTTATTTCACATGCGCTCACAATCTATTGATCTATGTAAAACTCAGATGAATACATGAAATAATTGCCAAGTCAATATTATATAATGGGTTTTCAAATTTCATAGTGACTGCTAGCCTATACAATCATCATATCACTTGACAAACACCAGCTTAATCAACCGAGTATACGTTTTGCTTTCGCTTCAAATCTCATTGCCCGAGATAAGCCTATAGTTAGGAGACATAAGTAGTGTATGGCATCTGTCATGAAATACAACGTGAGTATAACAAACTAGATATCAATCAATACGTAACAACAGGCTAATAAAACAATTGATTGACCTACATTCCACAGAGGTCAGTCAAGTCTTTAAAGCTGTAGTCTTTAGAAAGTTAAGAATTATCGATTGAAAATTCTAGATGAAATAGTCTCAAGGTAACAACTATATTAGTTTGTGAAAATGATTGAGTATCAAGCTCATACACCATGGACTGACCGTTAAACAAGGAATTACCGGTTTTAGTTTGAGTGAGTGTTACGCCTGCACGAAAACACGTCAACTTGATATACTTCAACAATTACGAGTTTACCTGTTCGGAAAACGAGAGCGAGGATCCGGTGACACGACATGCTACTCAAATCCGTTTTCCCAACCCCGAATATTGCGTAAAAATAAGAAGACTTGATACGAAGTAGAACATGTATTCTACAAGCATCCAGAAAGTACGAGGTGCGAATCCAGAAGAGAATCAGGATCCCGGACTAGGGATCCGGGTCCTAGTCATAAAACGTTACACATAATGCGTATTTATACAGTTAGGTCGAATAGGAAACACCATTGAGGTTTGTGACATCGAGAGTTAGGACGACCAATAGGAATTAACATTTGAGGTGACATTGATAGTCAGGACAACCAATAAGAAACAACATTGCAGCACGTGACACTGATATCTAGGACGACCATAAAATTGACAAGTAGGAATTGACGAATAATTCTCTTAGGATATTGAATGAATATACCGACGGTGAGGCAGCTATCCACCAATGACATTAGAAGACGATCAGGATGACTGCAAGATCTCAAGCTCCTCAGATTGATCCAGTCTTGATTCACCAAACCGAAACATGGTTCAAATCAATGAAGTCACTGACAAAGAGGACTGAGTCATGTTGGCGGATGTAGGCTACGTGGTTGGGGTCCGCAAGACGAAAGTCACTTTGAATGACATGACTCAAAATCGTTTGTAATGGCGCAGGTGCATTCAATCTTTGTGTTCTCTTAAATGCTAACTTCCTGAATTCCTCATCACCTCTATCTTTCTCCTTCTAAATTTATCTCACGGAATTATACTGCTCGAATCATATCTTCGAACCTTAATCTTCTCCATTACTGGTAATGCTTCTACTGTGGTGCGCGCTACTTATCAGTAGTATATGACGCAAGTGAAAACGTAACGTCTAGCAGCAGAAGATGGGGGAAGATCAAGAAAGGAAGAGTAGGAACACAATGGAATTTGTATGAAACGCATAAACAGTGAAATGTCAGACAATCGATTGATGCTATGCAATAGGATATTTTGCAAATTAACGATTTACGATATGATTTTTCTATTTTACCAATTAACTCTGTAATTTGCGATAAATACAATTCGGTTGCCTTTACCTGTGTTCTCCCTCACTACACTACTATCTCTACCACTATGGGATTTGAAATGACGGTGACGTCTCTGTGCTGATGGCGTATGGAAACCTGAACTTATGTACGTAACTACGAAGTTCCACGTTGTAACTGACTGACTGATCAAGTCAAGAGCAATTATAGAAGGACAAAAGAACTGTTTAATCCTTCCTGATTATCAATGATTAGTTAATCAGTTAACCCATAAAAAACGGTTGATATCTATTAAGAACCTACAACTAACTATCAGTAGAGTAATGCACGTTTTATAACTAAAAGAAAACATAATATCATTGATAATCACCAATTTTTATTTTATACGTACATGGTTTTTTTTTCTTCGTTATAAAACGGAAAGAAAGAAACCAATTTTCACTAATTAGGTAGTGTGAGTATTGTTTTGTTTTGTTTTTCTTACTTTCAAAATGATTGTCATTGATAAGTTGAAGATAAATTGTTTGATGAAATGTAATAACAATAATTAATTATTTTCCTAGTAAAGAATAATTAATTAATTAATTAATTTAATTGACTAATTAAATTATCACAGTCAACAAACAATTCACTGGTCAACAAGATTTGTACATCATAAATCAAACACAATAAAGGCATCATTACCAGCGTAATGAATGATTGCATAATCAAGAAACTATTTAATAATAATAATAATAATACGATTATTAGTTATGTGAAGAATAAAATATTGAATAAACATACATAAATATATCACAGTGTAATCCAGAGTAAAGATTATAAATTAAAATTTAATTTTTCATTTGGATTTTGTAATAAAACAAATAATTAAATCATTAGATTACATAACCAATTATGCAAAGGTATCGATAGAATTCCAGCTAAAGCTATACCAATGGAATCGGATACAGCTGCTATAGCCATTGCTTGTTCACGATGAATTGGAGAAGTCTGTATAGAAAATATAAATATATATATTAAAACAGAGAGAATGGATTTTAATTACTCGATGTTCAATAGAAAATATTAAACTATAATGTATTTACAAATGAAATAATATTTTCTAATAGCCAAGGACTCCATAAACCTTAAAATTCGTCTTTCAACATTTCTCTATACAATGTTTTGAAGGCTGTCTTGATGTCAATCTTAATTGTGCCCTGTCTCAATTATGTGTTTGGCGATCGATGAACATGGTTTTCTATTTCCCACGCCAATCGGCTCATCTGATTTTGAAGCCACTTAGGTACATGTTCCTTAACCATTGATTGCAAACCCCGATTACTCCTCCCTATATATGTGTCCACACAAACATGTCAATTGATAAATGCAGTGGGGTGTGATGTATTCATCATTCGAGCAACGTTTAAGTCTATGTGAAATCATGGTCTTAGTCTTTTCAATGATAATCAGTTCAGTAGTGTTGTATGTTTCATCTATGGCTGCTTTTAGTCTCTGTCTTATTATTAGACCATTTGCTTCACCTCTAAAGTGATATAAACCTTTTTCTTCTCAGCGGAATGAAAAATTGGCTTTTGTCTTAACTGATTTCTACATCTATTGATGAACTTTAGCTGATAGCCGTTTGAAATTAGTGCTTCAATTACGAATTTTGAATCGTCGTTAAATGCATCCGTGTTGCAAATCCTTTGAGCCCTATTGAAGAGGCATTTTACCAAACCTTGCTTATATTGCAGTGGACAAAAACTGCTAAAATTTAGATACTGTCCAGTCCACGTTGGCTTTCTATAAAAACAGAACGTTTTATAGTTCCATTCTCTCTTTGGCTCAACAGTATGTCTAAAAAAGGCAATTGATCATTATCTTCTGGTTCATGACTTAATACAATGCCATTCTGAAATGTTGAAGGACGAATTTTGAGGTTTATTGTTGGGGATGTTAGATCCCCAAAATTCGCTTGATAATGCCGTATTTCGGTTTTCACGTTCGCCAGCAGGGGCTGATCAAATGACCTTGAGATTTCAATTCCCACCAGGAAAATCAATGGCTGTGATTGGCTACAGTGTATTTTAGTATGCTATTTTCTTAACTGTCTCAAGGACGTTGTTATGTTGTATAAATAAACGAGAGTTGTATGCTTGATTGTACTGCATTGCTGGGTGTTTGTAGAATATACTTTCTACGCTTACCAAGACTTCTGTTTTACCGTTGGATTCAAGGTAGCCTTCCTGGAAGCTGGTAAAAGTATCGTTCGCGTTTATCGACTAAGGTAAACTCGTAATAGCCTCAAGCATCCTAAGTGCCGAATATATCATTTATGTAGGCCTTGGCTATTAGAAAATTAAAACCCCCCTTATGTGTGCAGAAATAATATTTACACTTATTCATTCCTATTATTGTCACTGTGTTATGCTTGTCAACTGATAATGCTTGAAACTATTACGAGTACACATTTGTCGGTAAACGAGAGCGAAGACGATAGCCTATTCTAATCCATTCGTTCCTGCCCCGGTTAACTATATCAAGGAGTCTACAAGCACCCATACAATACGAGGTTAACAAGCACACAAATCGAGTTTATTTATACATGATAAAAACGTTCTTGGGATAGCCATAAATATAGCGTACTAAAATAGTACATCAACCAATAACAGTCAAGGATTTTCTGGGTGGAAAATGTAATCTCAAGGTCAACTGATCAACCCATGCTCGAAAACATAAAATCCAAAATTAGGACCTTTTTTCCAAGTGAGTTCTGGGGATCTAACGTCCATAACAGGCTGTTAATTATAGGGAGTTTTAGACGATGAATGTTGTAGGCGATTGTTATAACCATTTGAAATTGCAAGACAGAATACGGTCATTACTAAATCAACCTCATGTTTACAAAAAAATTGAATATATCTTTAACTAACAAGATATATGTATAAACATATGCTTAGTGTATGTTCGGTTCACTAATCTAGATGATTTAACTGAGATGTTATTCAAAACAGTGGTTCCCTTTGATAAATTTGAATAGAGAAATATTTCTCTATTGAGATGTTATTGTTGTTTTGGATAACAATATTAACTAGTCAATCAGTAGTGATTGGTGTTACCTTGTCTAAATCCTTTAGTAATTATCAAATATCTACCAATCACGTTGCACTGTGGCCACTATTAATCTAAGTTGCGTGCACTGCATGGCGATGTTAGGCGGTTGAACATGGTCGACTGAAAACCAGGCTAGACATAGGTTTTATCTTAGTTGGTAAAATTACTTCCCGACCGTAGCTGCTACATTGACGTGGTGGTAGGGCTTACCTATCTTGATAAACCAAATGAGCTATATTGGCTGGAACATATGTTCCTGAAGGTTCTACCATGCCAGGCAGGTGGATTGGAGAACGATGAGTCTAAAAGCAGCTACCCAAGGTCAGAGGGCGAAGTCTCACTGCTGACTGCAGAGGGGTGTGACAGCAGTAAGGTGTTTCCCTCGGATAACCAGCATCTGCAGCGATGCTGCCTTCTCACAAGGAAGGAAGGCTTAGAAAAGGTTGACCTTAAAAATGTCACACCTCCCCTAACTCACGGATTTCCGTCTCCAGCAATAAGTTTGACCACTAAGAGCTTTTAAGGGCGGAGCTAACACTCAAAAAACCTTTCATCAAAAGGTCGTGAGTGAACGGTCTCAAGCAGTTGTCCCCTGGGCTCTACGGTCACGCACCCAGGTCTCTAAGATCAACACTAATCTACCTTCAAGAAACAACCTTTCACGATGTGGGCAGCCGGGAAGTGACAACCGCCCTCATACCCGTAACGGCACGCGAGACCAAATCGGTCTGCGTGTTTGTAAGATTACTTCAGTAGTAACATTACGTAACCTATGAATTTCACGATAAGCAATGATTACTACTCAAAGATAGCTTGTTAAATAGTACCAGTTAACATGAAACATGAAGAGGACAAGTTTTAATCACCCAAATAACATTATCAATATCTATTTTCACATATAAAAATACAATAATATCAATCAAAAATGAACTTACCACTTGAATAATATTATAAAATGTATTGACATAAGTTAAACCACCTAAACAACCTTCATAAAATATCACCATAAACATTATCCATATATATGGTATGTAAGCATAGATTACTTGTAATAAACAAATTACAAAATTTGTAGCCTAATTGAAAAAAAAATAATAATCATAATAATAATCTCTTATTATGCCTTATAGTTAATAAAAACGTGAATCAATGATAACTTTCTAGTATTGTGGTGAGCGCTACTTATAAGTAGTATATGACGTGAGTGTAAACGTAATGTCTGGCAGCAGAAGATGGTGGAAGATCAAGAGAAAGGAAGAGTGGGAACACAATGGAATTTGTATGAAATGCATGAACAGTGGTGAAATGTCAGACAATGGATTGAAGATTTGCAAATTAACGATTTACGATATGGTTTTCCTATTTTACTGTGTAACTCTGTAATTTTCGTTAAATACAATTTGGTTGCCCTCACCTGTGTTCTCCTTCACTACAGTATATTTGCACGCTATTTGTCATATTCCAGAAATGTTGGTCAGCTACACAGTTAGCTCTATATATACAGGTAATCAAGAGTAATTGATATTCGTTACAGGTAACTTTTATGCTTAGAACACTGCTTCACTAACAACTTGTTCATTTTAATGGCTCAGAGGTTAACTAACTATAACATTTGCAATGTTCATTATGTAAGTAGTATCTAGAAATTTTGCGTTCATTTAGTCAATCAGTGACGCGTATACTTGAGTGAAGTTCGCATGAATGATTTCATTTTAACTGATTAAAGTTATCTGTAATTATCTGCTATGAATATTTCAGTGTAATGCGCGGATGAGCATGTTGGGATAAGAAATCCAAATACGGTAAAAACATAGATATGACTTGATATAAAACTTACACTTTTATATGAAGCAATCATTCAATAAATAAAAGGAAGTTCTCAGTCAGTCCGTTACAACGTAGAAATTCGTACATAAGCACAACAGTTCAGGTTGTCATACCACATTAGCACAGAGATTCAATTGTCAACTACATTAAACAAATTAAACTCTTGCGAAAACCACAGACCGACACATTCAACAGTCATCACAACACTTACACACACAAAAGTAAATACTCTTACAGTTACGACGGAAACAAACAAACAAACCGAAATCTTCTCCATTACCGATGATACTTCTACTATCTCTACCACTATGGGATTTGAAGTGACAATTGCGTCTCTGTACTAATTCGGTATGGCAACCTTACCTTATGTACTAACATACGGTGTTCTTCGTTGGAATTGGACTGACTAACTAATTTATGAAAAATGATATCGACTAAAATAATGAACTGGAACGTCTTGGATTGAAATATTCTTGGATCTTGATAACACAATGCGAAGGAGTACAACACCAGGACTAAGTATTTTAATGTGGAAAGCTTCGCCACATTTCCATAAAGATCTCAAATATACTGATAACTAATAATAATAACTTTGCACGTAAGTACATCGGTTCAAGTTGCCATATCACATTAGCACGGAGATGCAACTGTCAATTCAAATCCTATAGTAGTAGAGATAGTGTAGGAGTACTACTGGTAAAAGAGAGGATTAGGGTTCGAAAATATTATTCAAGAAGTATAATTCAGAGTGATTACTTTAGAAAGTGAAAGATAAAGGTGATGATCAATTTAGAAGATTAGAATTTCATAGAACACAAAGAGTAAATACATCTGCGTCATTGCAAACGATTTTGAGCCATGTCATTCAGGGTCTCTAACCATCGATTATTATCATCTCGCGGACCCTAACCAGGTAGCCTACATCTGCCAAAATGACTCAGTCCACTTGTCAGTGACTTCATGGATTTGTGCCATGTTTTGGTCTGGTAGCCCCTAGCTTTCGCAACCTATTCCTATACCGCAAAATATAGCTCGACGAGGCAGTCGGTGGTTGGGCATTCTTAACACATATCCAAACCACCTCAACTGACGAAGTTTCAATACTTCATCTACTGATTAGCCATCCTTACAAAAGTAAGTTTTTTTCATTTTTCAGTAAATACAATCCATCCAAAAGGAAGCTCTGGATGGATTGCATTTACTGAAAAAATGGAAAAAACGTACACATCACTTCAGTTTATAATTTGATCAATTAAATTGGTCAGAAGTACAAATAAGTCATGACTTTTGACATTTTCTTTAAATTGACTTGAAGACACACTCATTAACAAACTATTTCTTGATTTTCTTCAGTTCTTCTTTATATGTAATTACTAGCATTTTCTCTAATATTATCATAAAACTGATATAGAGCAAATGTTTTGTTGTTTTAGTATGAATGTACTGAACTTGATTTGTATTCATTTGGAAGTAAATTAAATGACAATCGAACACGGCATTGTATTTTGCTCACAATCCTGCAACCACAAACTGAATACAGGACCTACTGTCTGGTGTGTGAACGCCTAACCTCTAGATCATTGAGCTAGGTTGTAATAATGTAACAAGTCTAACTTTGACCTATGGACAATAGTGGTAGGTACGTTCTCCATACTCAAGACGGTTTACATGTTGTTGGGCTAGTTATTTATCGATTAAATCTACGCTTATTATAAAACAGAACTATATTTTCATGCTCTTTTCAATTTTCTGCTAAAAATCATCTCTCTCTAACCACCATTCAAACTACATGTATTCAAACGAGTATTCCTGATATGAATATAACAACTTTAACGCAAAAAAAATACCGAATGACGTAATAAAATATGAGTTTTTAAAAATAAAAAAACTGGTCATTTGATCCATTACAGACAGAAAGAAAAAGAATCACTACTTTGCGAAGGGATGAAAAAATATCTAGGATGTTTGTATGGAACAAATATTAAGCGAAATACTTTAGAATTAAATTTAAACCATAATATTTATTGCGTAATTCAATTTAATTTTGGTAATCCGATACTTTCCACTATGTAGTACAATCGCATTTAGTGACTTATTTAATTTGCTCTTGTTTGATGTCTACTACTAATCATAATATCATGTATAACATTGAAATGAATGAGATTCTTGTGCATAATTAGACAGTATAGTTAATTATAGAAAATAGTTAACATCATATGGAATTCTTATGATGGATTCAACTGCAAAAACGTACACGAAGGACAGCTAACAGACTGTTTCGAGGTGAAGACCGGTGTCAGGCAACGTTGCTTACTCTCAACCTTTCTCTTTTTCCTGGTCATCGACTGGATTATGAAAACGTCGACATCTGGAGGGAAGCACGGTATCAACTGGACAGTTAGGACGCAGATGGACGATCTGGACTTCGCAGATGACCTGGCTCTTCTATCGCACACGCAACAACAAATACAAGAGAAGACGACCAGTGTAGCAGCAGCCTCTGCAGCAGTAGGTCTCAACATACATAAAGGAAAAAGCAAAACTCTCCGATGCAACACATCATGCACCAACCAAATCACTCTTGATAGAGATGCGTTAGAGGACGTGAACACCTTTACATATCAGGGCGGCATCATCGACGAGAAAGGTGGATCCGATGCAGATGTGAGGGTGCGGATTGGCAGAGCAAGGGCTGTATTTCTAAAAATGAAAAATATCTGGAACTCCAAACAACTTTCAACCAAAACCAAAAACAGCATTTTCAATACAAATGTCAGGACAGTTCTACTGTATGGAGCGGAAACATGGAGAACTACCAAAGCCATCATTCAGGAAGGCCAAGGAACACATTACGCCGAGAAATAGAGTTGGACATGAGAAGAATGAACGAAAATTGGACAGAACTGGAGAGGGAAGCCCAGGACAGAGTTGGTTGGCGAAAACTGGTGGGCGGCCTATGCTCCATTGGGGGTAACAGGCGAAAGTAAGTAAGTAATAGTTATTTATCATTGAGAAAACTGTCATAACGAATCAATGACAATGTCGACACCATTGATTTAATCTCTGAAAATTAAAGTAAGCATATCCTTTAGTGTCCCACGATCTGACTCCAATCCGAATGAATGATCGAGTACGCGATGAAATAAATCTTTCCTTCCATTTTCGTATTTCATACTTAAGCGTACCCTGTTCTCGTACGAAGGCCGTAATATGAAGCCAAATACGAATTCAGTTGGATAGGTTTATTTATTTCATGCAATCGATTACACAGACAGACGTAAGGATAAAAAAAAGAACGGGAAAGCAAAGCGAAGTGAAGCAGAGAAGGCCAGTGCCCAACTCAATGAGATGAGACGTGTGATTAAGTAATTATAGTCAGACATGAGATAAGGGTCTCTAACCCTGAATGAATAGACAGGGTCGAAATATGTGTGAATAACTGTAGAGAAGTATGGATTAGTTAATTTGTCCAAAGGCTCGAACTAGCCCTGTAGGCTCGACACATTTGTAAACACACACTATCATTCATTCATTAATTATTACGTAAGCAAACTTATCAGAAACGTTACCGGTGAACTGATAGGATGAGACAGATTCAGTATTACTCTTAGACGTCAACAAGATAATCGATCCCAGGCTTTAATAAAGTTTAATAGTAGATTGTAAGTGAATCGAAGAAGACTCACGTCTAATACTCATTTGAACTAGTCAGTCGAACGAACCTATTTCCTAGTGTTGACATTCGTATGTAAAATTACATGCACGGTTTATATTCGTTTAACAACACAGTAGCTATCTAGATTTAGAAGCAGGGTGAATAAGGCGCCGAAATTCAAGTCTCAGGATAAATAAAAACGCTGAGATTTAGAGACCCCTTGGTAGCGAGTCTCAAATATAGCGAAACTCACGTCCTGGTCCTGTTAACGGCTTCACTTATTTTGGGAGTTTTATCAGTGCTGATGGCTTGGTGACTGAAGAAATCTCAGCACGGATACAGAAAGTTCGACTGGCTTTTGAAAACTTGCGTCACTTATGGCGTAGGCGAGATATTCGTCTGCTAACCAAAGGACGAGTGTAATGCGCAGTAGTTCGCTCCGTCCTACTTTATGGCTGCGAAAGTAAAAGTATAGGATATTCGTAGGTTTATTGATTTTCGAGGCATTGCTTATGTTTCCTCCGACAACCGAGTAAGCAATGCTGCTCTTAGGAAACGGGTAAGGATGACAGATCAATAGATCAAGTAGTGAAACTTCATAAATTGAGGTGGTTGGGATATGCGTTCCGTATGACTAACCACCGACTGTCTCGTCGAGCTATGTTTTGCGATGTAGGAGTAGGTTGGAAGAAGGCTAGGGTAGGCCAAACCAAAACATGGCACATATTCATGAAATCACTGACAAGTGGACTGAGTCATACTGGTGAGTGTAGACTACCTGGTTAAGGTCCGCGAGACATTAGTAGACGGTGGTTAGAGACCTTGAACAACATGGCTCAAAACCGTTTGCTATGGAGCAAGGGTAACCACTCCTTGTGTAATCAGGAAGCCGTTAACGAAGAAAACTCACGAAAATTCAAGCCAACAGACTAACATCAGTCTCTGCGCTTTCAGGAACAAAACTAACTGCACAACTACACTCGACAAAATAAACTCTCGCGAAAACCACAAACCAACACAGTCAACAGTCATCATCACAACACTTACGCACACACACACACAACTAAACGCTCTTACAGTCTCCACCGAAACAAACACCGCAACAAAAACACAAACCAACATCACAATACCACATCACATCATCATCAGTTCAACTCACCATTCAACATACAACCACTACTGTACGACCCCACATTGACACAGCACCATTGCCATCTCACCCACTATGGAGTCATCATTCCATGTAGTTCCCAATGCGACAACAGACAACGCAAATGCGTCTCTGCGCTTTCAGGAACAAAACTAACTGCACAACTACACTCGACAAAATAAACTCTCGCGAAAACCACAAACCAACACAGTCAACAGTCACCACAAAACATACACACACAAAAGTAAACGCTCTTACAGTTTCGACGGAATCAATCAATCAATCAATAGCAATGTAAAACTTCGTATGTACGTACATCAGTTCATGTCGCCATACCACATTACCACAGAGATGTAACTGTCAATTCAAATCCAATAGTAGTAGAAGTAGTAAAGGAATTAGCAGTAGTCGGAGAGGTTAGGATTAGAAGATATTATTCAAAAAGTAGAAACTGGTGAAATAGACTTGAAATGATAAAGATAAAGTGATGAAGAATTAAGAAGTTTAGGATTTGAGAGAACACAAAGAGTAAATGCATATGCGCCACTGAAAACGGTTTTTAGATATGTCATTGAAGGTGTCTAACAATCGGTTACTTTCGTCTCGCGGACCCAAACCAGGTAGTCTACATCTACCAACATGACTCAATTCACTTGTCAGTGACTTCATGAATATCTGACATGTTTTGATCTGACCTCCCTTTTCTTTCTTCCAACCTACTCCTACACCATAAGACATCTCTTGTCGAGGCAGTCGGTGGTTAGACATACGTAACGTAACACACGTCCCAAACCACCTCAACTGATATTAAATAAAACAATAAATTAATGAATACAAAAAAAAAAATAAAAACTAATCAACTTACTTGTAACAATGACATAAACCAAGTAGTTCTTATAGGAATAAAACTAATTGATGATCTTGATAAAAATACACCAAGTTGATAAAGTACTTGATACCTAAACATAGTAAGTAGACATTGAAATAAACAAAGAAATTTTAGAATAAAGTTTGCAATTTACCACACAAACAAGCAAACTATTTTATTACTTTACTTTACTTTCGCCTGTTACCCCCAATGGAGCATAGGCCGCCCACCAGTTTTCTCCAACCAACTCTGTCCTGGGCTTCCCTCTCCAGTTCTGTCCAATGTTTGTTCATTCCTCTCATATCTTTCTCTATTTCTCGGCGTAGTGTGTTCCTTGGCCTTCCTCTTTTCCTTTTGCCTTGAGGGTTCCATGTGAGGGCTTGTCTAGTGACGCAGTTGGGTGCTTTTCGTAGTGTATGTCCTATCCATTTCCACCGCTTCTTCCTGATTTCCTCCTCCACTCGAATCTGACTTGTTCTCTCCCACAGTTCGTTGTTGCTGATGGTGTCTGGCCAACGAATACGAAGTATTTTGCGTAGACAACTGTTAATAAACACTTGTATCTTCTGGATGATGGCTTTGGTAGTTCTCCATGTTTCCGCTCCATACAGTAGAACTGTCTTCACATTTGTATTGAAGATCCTGATTTTGGTTTTGTTTGAAAGTTGTTTGGAGTTCCAGATATTTTTCAACTGTAGAAATGCAGCCCTTGCTTTGCCAATCCGCGCCCTTACATCTGCGTCCGATCCACCTTTCTCGTCGATGATGCTGCCAAGATATGTGAAGGTGTTAACGTCCTCCAAGGTATCTCCATCAAGCGTGATTCGGTTGGTGCATGTTGTGTTGCATCGGAGAATTTTGCTTTTTCCTTTATGTATGTTGAGACCTACTGCTGCAGAGGCTGCTGCTACACTGGTCGTCTTCTCTTGCATTTGTTGTTGAGTGTGCGATAGAAGAGCCAGGTCATCTGCGAAGTCCAGATCGTCCAGCTGCGTCCTAACTGTCCAGTTGATACCGTGCTTCCCTCCAGATGTTGACGTCTTCATAATCCAGTCGATGACCAGGAGAAAGAGAAAGGGTGAGAGTAAGCAACCTTGCCTGACACCGGTCTTCACCTCAAAAGAGTCTGTCAGCTGACCTCCGTGTACGATTTTGCAGTTGAATCCATCATAAGAATTCCGTATGATGTTAACTATCTTCTCAGGCACACCGTAGTGTCGAAGAAGCCTCCACAGTGTTTTCCTATCCACGCTATCGAATGCTTTCTCGTAGTCGATGAAGTTGATGTAGAGTGGTGAGTTCCATTCAATTGATTGTTCCACAATGATCCGTAATGTAGCAATTTGGTCAGTACACGATCGATCCTTACGAAATCCAGCCTGTTGATCTCGAAGTTGGGCGTCTACGAAGTCCTTCATTCTGTTTAACAATACTCTGTTGAAGACTTTGCCTGGTATTGAAAGAAGAGTGATGCCTCTGTAGTTTTCACACTTGCTGAGATCGCCTTTCTTTGGTATTTTGATGAGGTATCCTTCTTTCCAATCTGATGGTACTTGTTCCTCATCCCAAATTTTCTTGAAGAGAATGTGAAATATTTTCGCAGTTGCTTCCACATCTGCTTTCATTGCCTCTGCTGGAATGTTGTCTGGTCCTGCTGCTTTGCCGCTCTTGATTTGTCTGATGGCTATACTGATCTCCTCAATCGTAGGTGCGCCAATATTAATTGGGAGGTCCGTGGATGCTGCTTCGATGTTGGGTGGGTTCAGTGGAGCTGGTCGATTCAATAGTTCCTTAAAGTGCTCCACCCACCTATTTCGCTGTTCGTCAGTGTTGCTGATTATTTTCCCTTCCTTGCTTTTCACTGGTCGTTCTGGTTTACGATAGTTTCCGGCGAGCTTCTTTGTAGTTTCGTACAATTGTCTCAAGTTTCCTTCTCTTGCAGCCTTTTCCGCCGTCATTGCTAGATAATCCACATATTTTCGTTTGTCAGCTCTGATGCTCTTCTTCACTTCCCTGTTTGCTTCTGTATACTCGGCTTGCGCCTTAACTTTCTCTGCTCTTGTTCGGCAGACATTGATAGCTGCCTTCTTGTTTCTCCTTTCTTGAATTTTTTCAAGAGTACCAACAGAGATCCATTCCTTGTGATGGTGCTTCTTGAGACCAAGGACCTCCTGACATGTTGAAGTGATTGCCTCCTTAATCCCTTTCCAATTGTTCTCCAATGTTGCTTCCTCTCCATTGAGTAGATCCTGAAAGGCCTGGAACCTATTGGTGAGGGCTATCTTGAATTCGTTGAGTTTTACGGTATCCCTAAGAAAGGCCGTATTAAACTTCTGTGATGTTGTCTGCCCCGCTGTCCAGTGCTTCTTTAGCTTCAATCTCATTTTGGCGATCAGCAAGTGGTGATCTGAAGCTATATCAGCTCCTCTCTTGGTTCTCACATCCTCCATGGTCCTTCTGAACTTTTTGTTGATACAGATATGGTCAATTTGGTTTTGAGTAGTGTGGTCCGGTGAAATCCATGTGGCTTTGTGAATGCGTTTGTGCGGGAATATTGTGCCACCGATGACCAGTTTGTTGAAGGCACATAGGTTTGCAAATCTCTCACCGTTTTCGTTCCTTTCTCCCAGTCCATGTCGTCCCATGATGTCTTCATATCCAGTGTTGTCCATTCCAACCTTGGCATTCAGGTCTCCCATAAGAATCGTCAAATCCTTTGGTGAACATTTATCGACGACTGACTGCAGCCTTTCGTAGAATTGATCTTTAACGTCGTCATTGTAGTCATTGGTAGGTGCATAACATTGGATGACGTTCATTGTAATGTCCTGTTTCTTTGTTTTGAAGGATGCTTTAATGATCCTGGGTCCATGAGATTCCCATCCTATCAGTGCCTTTTGTGCATGTTTGGACAGCATCAGTGCAACTCCTTGTGTATGTGAAGCGTTTTCCTCTTCATGACCAGAGTATAACAGCAGTTCCCCTGAAGCAAGTCTCAGTTGTCCTACCTGTGTCCAATGTGTTTCACTGATGCCGAGCACCTCGAGGTTGTATCTTTTCATTTCTGCCGCAACTTGAAATAGTCTTCCAGTCTCCCACAATGTACGAACGTTCCATGTACCTAAAAAAATGGTTGCTCTGGTTGTCAGAAGAGGCATCGGCCCCGTGACTTCCGAGGGGACTCGGCTTTCATCACGAGACGTCATAATTCTTCTTCCAACTCCCAGGGCAGAGTTAAAATGGTTTGAATTATTTTTTCTGGTTAGCGTTTTTTTGGCAAGTTAGATTTCAACGGAATGGGGCCGCCAACCACATGTCCAACCCTCCTCCTTTATCCGGGCTTGGGACCGGCAGTAGCCCCTAAGGTTCTACTGGCGGAGTTAAACTATTTTATAGTAGATGGATTATACAGTCTAACAATGGATGATACATGTTTCACACGCTAATAACTGAAACCAGCACTGTTGTGGTGTGAGCTACTTATAAGTAGTATATGACGTCAGTGTAAACGTCTGGTAGCAGAAGATGGGGGAAGATCAAGGAAGGAAGAGTGGGAACACAATGGAATTTGTATGAAACGCATGAACAGTGGTGAAATGTCAGACAATGGATTGATGTTTTGCAAATTGACGGTTTACGATATGGTTTTCCTATTTCACCAATTAACTCTGTCTTCTCCTTCACTACACTTTATTAGTTAAGTGAGTAATTGAAAACATTACCATTTCGATACACATAGAAAACGTGTTTCTCTCAGTGTTATTATGACGAATCTTATCTCTCATATTCCACTTAACAACAAGAACAACAAAAGAACTATACAAATGTGCATTGTTGGGGACGTTAGATGCCTAAAACTCACTTGGAAAAGGTCTTAATTTTGCGTTTCTTATGTTTCCGCGCGTAAGTTGCTCAGTTGACCTTGAGATTACATACCCCAATCGGAAAATCTTTGGTTGATGGATTATTTTAGTAAGCTACTTTTGTGGCTCTCTCAAGGACGTTTGCCTGCTTGTAGAATAACACACTTTCTACGCCTTGTCAAGACTTCTTGATATTAGTAGCGGGGCCTGGGACAATAGGATTAGAATAGCATATCGTGTCATTGCATCATTTGTCTCCGCAGTCGTTACCGAGTAAGGTGAACTCGTAATAGTTTCAAGCATATCAACATTACCAGTAACTAGCTGAGAAACCATTTCCTATAGTTAGCCTCTGGTAACAAATGAACTTGATGTTGTCCTACCTAGATCAGCCCTTCTATTAGATACAACTTAATACCACTTCAAGGGATTCGTAACCAGAAGCTAGATTCAGTAGGGGTGAGCAAATGACTATTTATTTAGTTGGTTTGGGGTTTGTGTAGATTACCTTGATTCAAAGATGAGCCACATTTCAGGGACGGACTAATGTTGTAAAATAAGCTTTAAAAAAACGTTCAGTTTGGGACAAAGCCCATCTAAATAAAGGTTTGTAATCACGCAACAATGAACGACAGATTTTAGAATGTCTGTTTACATTGCATCGATTCACAGAGTAAACAAATATTTTCATGCATAGTAACTAGTGGAAAGCAAATAAAAAAGTTTTCATTTTTTAAAAAATTCCTGAACAGTTCAAAAATTAAAATTATTTCCTAAGCTCTGATCCAAATAAATAAAGTTGGAATGTAACTAGTAGTGAAGTTCATAAGGAGGGTTTTCAACCATACTGGACTCAGTAAGAAATCTATCAATGTACAAACTACCAGTATTTTTTCAGAGAATAAATAAAATGTTAAAGCATATTGTTATGTGTTGTTACCTCATGTGACAAGGCTCTAAGTCAGGATCGTGAGTCTAATTCGGTCTACATCAAATTCATTGTTTAATCTATGGTTAAGTTTCTCTGGTTTGACCAATGACACGTTCACCTAACACTACTATTGACCTTGAGTCAATCAGCTAAGTTTCTCTCCAAATCCTACTCTTTATAGCCCACAAGTCCGTGGCCAGTGACCAGCCTCTACTATATTCATATTTCAGACGAAGTAGTTTAGATTCAAACAGATCAGATTGTATCACACTATAAAATGAAAAATAGAAATTCTGAATGAGCAAGCGAACAGTGTCTGTGAATGGGGAGACTGTTAATAACTATATATATATATATATTACATAACATATATATATTACATAACATCAAGTCGACTGGTAGTAAAGTGTAAAATATATTCGACTTTCGATCAATGAGTAGTAACTTCGAACCCAATCGCTCCATTGACTTAGATTTCGTAAATCAATGAAGTAGTAGCATCAAGGCAGAACGATGGCTCAGTCGTTAGGGCACTGGACTTTAGACCGGCTAAGTCCAAGGTTTGAACCCCAACCTCAATTCTATTTAGGCAACCAGGCAATATCACTAGCCTTTAGCTTTAAAGTGTGACTCATACCCAAGTACCTGGTGAATGAATTAATCCAGCTGTACTGAAATCTCTTACAGAAATCGTATGACTTAAATCTATGCATACAAATCTGTACATTCGATTTTCAAAGTTATATTTTTTTTATCAAATGGAATACCTATACAAATTTATTTACTAAAAATAAGTTTGTCAACATGAAATCGTGTACATTTTTACTCACCATCTATATTGTTCCGGAGCAGTTAAACGTGTATTTTGAAAGTAAAGCAATTCAAACTGAAAAAGAAAAACAACACAGAAATCAGTAGAAAAAAAAACGTAAGTGGTAATAATCTCAACAAAAAAAATTTTCAACAGACAAACACAATTTAAAATGATCAAATCTAGACAAAATAGAATTTCACATAAAAGTCTATCGATTAAAGTTGACATATCTGATATGATATAACGTTTTACAGTGTAATCAATAAGTTAGTTGTATAAATAAATTAGTGGCATTGTTAATTGAGTCCTAGGTAAGGGTGGCAGATAAATAGATGAAGAAGTGTTGAAACTTCATCAGTTCAGGTGGTTGGGACATGTGTTACGTATGCCTAACCACCGACGGCCTCGTCGAGCTATGTTTTGTGATGTAGGAATAGGTTGGACGAAAGCTAGGGGCGGCCGGACTAAAACATAGCACAAATCTATGAAGTCACTGACAAGTGGACTGAGTCATGTTAGTAGGTGTCGACTACCTGGTTGAGGTCGATGGTTAGAGACCCTGAATGACATGGCTCAAAATCGTTTGCAATGGCGCAGGTGCATTAACTCTATGAAATTCCGACCTGAATTCCTCATCATCTTTCTCTTTCTAAAGTTATCTCAATGAATTATAATGTCTTCGAACCCTAATCTTTCCCATTACTACTAATACCTTTACTATCTCTACCACTATGGGATTTGAATTAACAGTTGCGCCTCTATGCTAATGCGGTACGGCAACCTGAACCAATGTACGTACGTACGAAGTTCTACGTTGTAACTGACTGAGTGACTGAGTAAGGATTTAAATTATTCCAACAAGTCCCAAACATGAAGGAAGCGAAAAGGGGGTTTGTTTTCTTGCTTGCCTTCAGTGCTATCTATCTATACTTGAGACTAAATAGTCTTATATCAAGACAGTCCACATAGGATGGATGTATATACATATACATATATATCAACAGAGATAAATGGAAATGAAGTTCTGAATATTATTGACGGGATAATGCAATAATTCTTATGGTTAACGTTTACACATTTCATTAAAAACAAGTCATCATAATCATTGGCATAATTTATCAACTTACCAATGATTGATTGATTAAATATTCGAAAAAATATACTGTCACTAGACAAAATAATAAACCATACATTGCCTATATATATGAATTGAATAAAAATAAAAGAGCAGTCAGTTATGATCGACAGTAGACAATATAACAGAGTAAGTAGTAAAATGATCATCAAAATGAAATGAAATTCCAAAATGTTAAAGTGTTGTTTACATATTTCACCCATTGATGAACGACTATCAATGCAGACAGATTTGAATCAATGAAATCCATATCTATTGGAACGAATTAATTGTGGTTAACTGAATTTGATAATTCAGTGAATATAATAATGTGTTTGAAATTTCAATGTATCAACATTTAACATACTAGGATACAAGTAATATGGCAATATTTATGCATCACCCCACACAGGATGAAAGGATAAAATACAGTTTCGGAAATTAGGCTTTTTTAATTGAGATTTTCACATTATAATCACAGTCCTCAGATAGAACCCTCAAGGTTAAGGAATATATTACACATAGAGCAATGGAGACGGACATGAGAAAAATGAACAAAAACTGGACAGAAATGGAAAGGAACGCCCAGGACAGAGTAAGATGGAGAATACTAGTCGGCGGACTGTACTCCGTTGTGGGGTAACAGCTGTAAGTCAATCTATGGTTAGCTTTGATACTTCATTTTAAATAGTTGTTGTTCTTTTTTATTTTTTACCGGTTGTTCATTAGAATGAAGGTGTCACAAAGTAAAACGGTTCTTCTTATTATTATCTCATAACAACAACAACAACAAAGATGATAATAATAATAATAATAATAATAATAATAATAATAATAGTATTTACATTACGTGGTTGTGAAGAGTGTTAAGTTACTCACTGAAATCATGAATCGATCAGTACTAGAAAGCCATTAGAAACCTGAAAGCACTAGAAGGTCATTTTGTCCTACAGGAAAATATGTTCCAATCAATATAGCTCGGTTAAGTCATCACAATAGGCAAGCCCGACCGCCACGTCAAGGTAACAGCTACGGTCGGGAGGAGTCACCAGATAAGGATGGCAAATCAATAGATGAAGTAGTGAAACTTCATCAGTTGAGGTGGTTGGGATGTATGTTACTTATTTACTCCATACTGTTTGTTATTTTCACTTTCTGTTGGGGGATGTTAGATCCCCAGAACTTACTTGGAAAAGGTCCTAACTAACTAACCAGAAGAAATAATTCAAACCACTTTAACTGTGCCCTAGGAGTTGGAAGAAGAGTTATGACGTCATGTGATGAAAGCCGAGTCACTGGTCACTGTGACGGGTGAGGGTGCAGAGAAAAACTTGAAAGTCGTGACTCCAGTGAAACTTAGCTGGTTGACTCAAGGTTAATAGTAGCGTTAGGTAAACGTGTCATTGATCAAATCACAGAAACTAAACCATACATTAAATAATGGATTTAATGTAGACCGAATTAGAATCACGATTCTGACTAGTGTCTTGACATGTGATATTAGTCAGAGGTAACAAGACGTAATCATTGCTGACCGGGTTTTTGGAGGAAGAAGAGGAAACATTTATAGCAGCATCCTAAATTTATATTGATCCAAAGATTTATACTGAAGCATTAGGGCTATAAGACAACAATCACGACCATATTTGTTGAAGCCCTAAGGTTGGTAATATTTAGTGGCTTTGGGCATTATCAAACACAGCTCAGAACAGAAGCCAATGGAGAAAGAGATAGTACCATATTTTCTTTCATAAAACGGAGACACACTACCATATGATTTTGAGATGGTGGAGAAAACTTGTAGCTCAGGTGGATGATTGTGGTGGTGTTTTGTTCTCTGAGCTGGATATTTTGGTTGTGGAGCTTTCATTGTTCTTCTGAACAACATCATCAGCACGAACTTCAGATAGAAGTGAAGCATTAGAATTTCTCCACGTTTGACCTGTAGCTTGTTCTGCTAACCTCGATCTTGATTGGTTGTTGTTGACCTTTGGCCTGTCGTTGTTTGCAACTATGTTTTGATTGCCTCCCTCTTTTGATCTGTTTCTTGATCTAGTGTCACCTATGATTTTCCTGATTGGTTGATAAATTGGGTCAATGTCGATGTGTTTGTTGATTGCTAATTGACCTGAGTGCCAAGCTTCTAAAAATTCTCTAGTGTTCTTTGTCCTCCCCCTACCTAGTATTTCCACGTTGTTCCAATCAAATGTGTGTCAATAATTGTCGGTGTGTTTTGATATAAGCGAAGCGTTGTCGTGGCGTTTGACTGCTAATTGATGTTCACGTAAACGGAGCTGAAGAGGTCGTCCACTTTGTCCTATGTAGTGTTTTTCACAATTTGAGCAATTTATTTTGTAGATGATATTTGGTTTTTCTTCTTTTGTCATTTTGTCTTTTGGTCTACATAGGATTGACTGAAGTGATTCCGTTGGTTTGTGTGCCACACCTATTCCAAATGGTTTCAGTAGTCGTGCCGTATGCTCTGATATATCTTTGATGTATGGTAGGATGATGCGTTTATTTGTTCCTGTGCTTGATTTCACTCCTGATGATAGTTTTGGTTGATGTTTTTTGATGAAGTTGCGTGGGTAGCCGTTCTTTTGGAAGATAGTCATCAGATGTTTTTCCTCGTTTTTTAATGTTTCGTATGTGCTGCAGTGTGTCTTCGCTCTCTTGAACAGAGTTTGTATGCAGTTAATCTTGTGGGTTCTTGGGTTGTTGCTGTCGTAGTTGAGAATTACGTCGGTGTGGGTTGGCTTCCGAAATACTTGAGTTTCTAGTTTTCCTGAACTAAACGCATCATCCTACCATACATCAAAGATATATCAGAGCATACGGCACGACTACTGAAACCATTTGGAATAGGTGTGGCACACAAACCAACGGAATCACTTCAGTCAATCCTATGTAGACCAAAAGACAAAATGACAAAAGAAGAAAAACCAAATATCATCTACAAAATAAATTGCTCAAATTGTGAAAAACACTACATAGGACAAAGTGGACGACCTCTTCAGCTCCGTTTACGTGAACATCAATTAGCAGTCAAACGCCACGACAACGCTTCGCTTATATCAAAACACACCGACAATTATTGACACACATTTGATTGGAACAACGTGGAAATACTAGGTAGGGGGAGGACAAAGAACACTAGAGAATTTTTAGAAGCTTGGCACTCAGGTCAATTAGCAATCAACAAACACATCGACATTGACCCAATTTATCAACCAATCAGGAAAATCATAGGTGACACTAGATCAAGAAACAGATCAAAAGAGGGAGGCAATCAAAACATAGTTGCAAACAACGACAGGCCAAAGGTCAACAACAACCAATCAAGATCGAGGTTAGCAGAACAAGCTACAGGTCAAACGTGGAGAAATTCTAATGCTTCACTTCTATCTGAAGTTCGTGCTGATGATGTTGTTCAGAAGAACAATGAAAGCTCCACAACCAAAATATCCAGCTCAGAGAACAAAACACCACCACACACTACCATAACTAGAATAGGTCTTTGTTGTGTTGTTAACTAAACTGTATATCTTTTTAAACACTACTGTCGTTCACTAATCTCCTCCGTAATACCACTCCATATCCCGTTATTTCTACTTAATGTTATCTGCGTATTTTATGTGGCGCAATCCATATTTGCTGGAGAGCTGTATTAGAAGGTATGTTAACTAACTTATGTGTGCTGTCCTAATAACCAGGGTGATAATTCCACCTGGGCGGTAATGATAAGGTTAGAAGTAGACAGGTTAACCGTCAACAATAGTCAATCAAAATCGACGTCGACAAGACAAGCTGTTAGTCCTATGTATAGGGATTCGAATACTTCACTTCTACCTGATGTTTGTGCTGATAATGCTGTTTAGAATAACAATCGAAGCTCCATGATTAAATCATCCAGTTCAGAGAAATAAACTACACCAAAATGTTTGGTAAACATTAAGGCGCAGTATACTTATGTACCCGTAAAATCAAGATGGAGAAATAAAAACTTAATAGTAGTAACTTTTGAAGATAGTCTTCGATCAAAACAATTCAGGTGTACGTAAATTAGTGCCATAAGATGCTCTCAATATCACAATATCGCACTACTGTAATACGAAGAAGTTCCATTCATCAAACTAATTAATCTTAATCGAAAACACTCTTAAAAACACTGCTCTATCAAATACATGTTGAAAAAAAAAACTCACTTTTAATAACTGTAATCTTATTGTCCATGTGGGCTGTTGCTGATAAAGAACAGGAGATGAATCATCTGAAACTTGTGGATTATAACAATCAATTGTGTCATCTTCATTTCTCAGTTGAATATATCCATCCGAATGAGTGATTACATCATTAGCATTAGCAGCCTCAGCTATATCGCCATCATGATCTGTATTTGTTGGGAGAGAAACAAACTCTGTGTATATTACATGCAAGACGATGTAGGTGTTTGCCATCAAATCAAACAAAACATGATAAATGCTCCTTACATTATGTAGTCAACTGGATAGCCAAAAACTACTCCAGTAATATGTTCATTAGATGTGAAACCCAAGAAATACACTTCATATTGTTTAATGTTTGTTAATAAGAGCTACACTGAATACATTGTTTTTGTATACTGCTCCATTTAAGTGTACCTACTGGTATTTTGTAAATTCTAGGATTTGTACTGAAAATTTTGCGTAAATTATTATTTTGCATTTAACTACTTTTTATTAACAAGTAGTTAAGATATTATATATGAATAAATTTGAAACTTACTATCCTCTGACTCCTCAACATTGGTCTCGAATGCATTTATTCTCTCCGTTGACATGCTAGAGTTGTCGGATGAAAAATCCACAGGGTTGTTGAAGCACAGTCGAAATTTTTCATGATGAGGTCTATTTAAAACGAAGAAATACCTGAAAGAAAATGGACCGTAAGTATCATATTACCATATTACCCATTTATAATCAAACTGTAGGTATGTTGTTAAAAAAAAATAGTTGCCCAATGTTCCCACCTAATTAACATATTCTCTGTATTAACGATGTATTGATAGCTATTGCAAATTATTATCCTTTCTGTTATATTCTTGTACGTAACCTGTGAGACGTAGTAGCATTGAATAATTACGGTACATCCTCACTACATACGGAGACTTCACCATCCGCTTAAAAAAGAATTCACACTCTGTACTTCAGTACTTCTGTATATCACTTTCAAGTCAACTATCTTAGTGACCAACATTGCACTGTTTGATCAACAAAAATAAAACAGTGTGAAACAGGAAACCAAGGTGCTCATTGATATTAACAGTAAATTTTGTAACAGACCTAGTTGTCTGAAATAAATTCCTTGGCTCTGGTGGTTACACGTTTAATATGACTCTTTAGGAGTTACTACTGCTAAAACCTTAGGAGTTGGAAGAATTTCATCTAGAACAGTTATGATACACCTCATGGTTAAAGCCGTACTACTACTTTGTAAGTCACGAGGATAGTGCACTCTTCCTGAAAACCACATTCTCGTCAACAAGATTTGGGATGAAAAACAAGTGCCAAGAGACTGGAAACAAGGATATCTCATCAAGTAATGGAACTACGAAAGCATCACTCTTCTCTCTCTCAAGTAAGGTAAACCATAAGGCTAGGAAGAAGCCGCGGATTTCAGTAGCATCTACCAAACTGATGGATGCTCGAAAACTTATCTCACCTGGCTGTGAACATGATGAAGAGCGAAGTCAGCTTAAGCGCAGGCTTATAAAAAGCCTACGCAATGACCGCGAACAATGATGGGTGGCGGAAGCAAGATCGATGGAAAAGGAAGCAGCAATAGGCAAGTTTAGATAGTCATTCCGCCTTAAAAGGGAAACCGGTATTAGAAATCCATCTGTTAGCGAAACTATCTCAGAAAAGGATGGCTGTATCATTCGTTCTCAATCCAGGAGATTGAATCGATGGGGATAACACTTTAGGGATCAGTTAAACTGGCCTTTAGTCACACTTCGGTTACCCACGATCCCCGGTCATTCTGAATGGCAAGTCGATTTAAGTCCACCTAGTCTTTATGAAGTTGAGAAAGCTATAGGAAATCTAAAGCGAGGGAGAGCAATGGGTCCTGATAACCTTACCCCTGAGATTTTTAAGGATGGTGATGCACCTTTAGAAGTTAGATTGAACGAGATCTTAGGTAGAATCTCAGAACTGGACGTAATCCTATCCGAGTGGTCAAAATCCCTGATTGTCCCAATCTATAACAAAGGACAAAAGTCCTCTTGTGACAATCACAGTGAAATAAGTCTAACTAATTTAGTTTCTAAATTTTTAGCCTCGATTATATTCAGACGCCTAATTAGAGCTTGTGAAGAGCAGACTAGAGAAAACCAGGCTGCTTTTCGAACTAGACGTGGCTGAATAGACAACATTTTCACACTGCGACAGGTCCTGGAACACAGACACACATCTCTACGTCCGACGATAGTTATCTTCCTGCACCTTGAGACGGCATTTGACTCTGTAGATCGCGAGCTTCTGTGGCAGTGTCTGTCATTGAAAAGTGTACCAAAGAAGTACATCAACTTTATACAGGCTCCCTACTCGAACACCACTGGTCGGGTGAGAGCATATGGCGAACTGTCATCGGAATTCTCTACTTTAAGTGGTGTATGTGCGGGATGCGGTTCTCACCCTACAAATGCAAACTGTTGCTTCAAGATTCGGTTGCCTCGGCACCTGAACTAGTGATAGGGAGTGAAGTAGTCGAATGTGTAGACCGCTTCACTTATCTCGGGTGTCTCTTCAGTGATGATGGCTTGCTGACTGACGAAATCTCAACACGGATACAGAAAGCTATATTGGCTTTTCCCAACTTACGTCATTTATGGCGTAGGCGAGATATCCGTTCGCTCACTAAAGGACGAGTGTACTACGCAGCAGTTCGCTCCGTTCTCCTACATGGATCCGAAACATGGCCGCTAAGAGTAGAAGATATTCGTAGGTTACTGGTTTTCGATCATAGATGTCTTAGAAGCATTGCTCGTGTATCATGGAACAACCGAGTGAACACTGCTGCCATTACGAAACGAGTTCTACGTAAGGACGGTAGGTCAATAGATGAACTAATGAAAATTCATCAGTTGAGGTGGTTGAGACATGTGTTTCGAATGCCTAACCATCGACTGCCTCGACGAGCGATGTTATGTGGTGTAGGGGTAGGTTGGAAGAAAGCTAGGGGCGGCCAGATCGAAACATGGCAGAAATCCATAAAGTCACTGACAAGTGGACTGAGTCATGTTGGTAGATATAGGCTACCTGGTTGGGGTCCACGAGACGAAAGTTGCCAATGGTTAGAGACCTTGAATGACATGGCTCAAAATAGTTTGCAATGGAGCAGGTGCATTCACTCTTTGTGTACTCTCAAATCCTAATCCTCTGGATTTGTCAACACCTCTACCTTCATCTTTCTAAACTTATCTCACTGAATTATACTTCTTGAATATCATCTTCAAATCCTAATTTTCTCCATTAGCAGTAAGTCTTCTACTATCTCTACCACTATGGGATTTGAATTGACAATTGCGTCTCTGTGCTGATGTAGTATGGTGATATGAACTGACGTACTTACGTACGAAGTTCTGTGTTGCAACTGACTGACTGAATCGTTCATAAATCAGAAAAATCATAAGTTATCTCAAAATAAAACAATATATAAAAACTTACACTAACAATGTAATACATGGAACTACAATAACAATACATAAAGTAATTTCTGGTGTAGTTATTGACGTCAAACCAACATAACAAAATGAACCAATTAATCCAGCTGCACCAGTTCCAGATGACCAAGCTGAAACACAAGATCTAGAAAAATGTTCCCACCAAACCAAGAAAATGAAAACAATCAATAATTGTGGGTATTGATAAAATTAAAAATAGCAATATATTTTGTACGAAAGACGGTGAACAATCTGAAAACACAAGTACTAAACAAACATATAGACTAACAGCTTATTGGGTGACTACTATTGAGGGTGAGGTGTCTAGAGTCCTTAAAGTTAATAAAACCCCATAAGTTCGTCATACGATCAATAAGCTAAGTGACTACACTTATACATTTGAAATCATTAATCAATCATCATTGTTAGACCACCATTAGAAACCTGGAAGCACTGGACGGCCGTTTCGTCCTAGTATGGGACTCCTCAGCAGTGCGCATCCACGACTCCTGCTCCTCGCAGGATTCGAACCCGGGACCTTTGGCATTGTAGGCGAACGCCTTACCATCGGACCACTGGGCCGGCATCCAACGGTGTTAATGTCTAACTCTGATTGATCTAGGGATTTTGCGCGACCTCACCCATTTGTCTTTGGTAGTTACTGCCTACACCCGACAGGGTTGAACTCCACTGGTCACGTCTTCTCAACTAGAACTCCGAGAATTTCCTCACGAAGCTAGTCACTAGTGAGCACTGTTACATTATATTGGGGCACAGTTTTGGAGGTTTGCGTTTTTACACATTTGTTTACACTTATGTTAGGAAGAAAGATGTGATGACTTGATGAGGTACGGGAATTGCTAAATGAATAAACAGAATGATGGTCGATAAATGAAATTCAGTTTTAGGAGACAGGACTGTTGCGAACCTCAGAATAAACTAACAACAAACGCAATACTATTAGCAAGAAGAGTGGGTGTTTGTACCTAATAATATAGCATGTTTTATACAAAATGTTAACAGAAAATTAATGATTAGAAATCATGCGAGATTAGGAAAAATAAGTTTTGTAAGTTATTCAATCTTCAATTAATTGAAATATGAATGTCAAACCTAACTTTCAGTGAATACATCAACATCTCAGCATGTTTCTCACTAGTGTCATAAAACCAAATGCAGTCTCTTATTCGAGTGGATTTTGAACATCATTTTCAACAGTTCATGTAATCTACACAAATTATTTGCATTCTATTGTTAACTGATTAATAAAGGTGGTAAGTAAAAAAACTCTAGAACTGAGTTTCGCAACAGTTGAAACTCGTCAACAAGGTTTACCTATAACCTTGAACGACCTGATACGTTACCAATATGAGCTATTCCACCCACGAGTGACTTCCCCCATTAGAAGTGTAAGTGATATCGAACTACTCATACTAGTGATCACATTGAAATTTTATTGATCGAATCCAATCACCACTAAAGATAAAACAAACATAACATTGGTTACTATTGATTCGATGGTAGACTAACACCTATAGTTCTTATCATTTACATACAAACTCAACTTTTTACAGGTATGCTGCTACCTACTGGATTTCTCTATCCATATTTCGTGTATGAAGCGCAGACCATGATAAACTATCACATTCTGGCAAAAATAGGGAATCCATAATCATCTTTTTAATGTAGAATGACTGATACGCCTTGATAAATGATGAGTCTTGACAATGAACTGTAATCAAAAGCAATTAAATCCAATTTAAAATTTGCCATTTCTGGTACGAATGGCAATGGGTGGTTAATAAGCAGTATACGCAATATAATTTTGGCGTAACCTCATCAAGATGTGCACTTGTTAGCAGGATCCAAAAAAAATACAGGTTATAAACATATAGCTCCGCCTAAAGCCCTTCCACAGCTACGGTCGGTCAAAAGCCCAAGAATAAGGAGGGTTGACAGTGGAGTAAATGATCCTACCTGGTAAAAATAAATTCTCTACAAGGTCACTCACTCACTAGTCAGAAAAATTCGACTAAATTACAATACGGAAAAAAAATTGATTAGCATACTTTTCAAAGAAGGCTAGCATACTTAAGAAAGTAACATCTCCGATTCCTGATGATAAACTTGCCGACATAATCCCTAAAAATATTTTATGAAAAAAGGCACCACTTAACAATGAGTTAGAATCAAACAAAAGAAATTCCATCATACGTTATCTCATTCTTATGCAATGACTAGTAGTACTTTATAATTAAGCAACTGAATTTTTACTACATACCATTTAAGCTACAGTAGAAAAATGAGTAAATCTTAACTTGAAGGGCTGGTGGAAACATATTATGGTTCCAACATGATCATTTACATAGATCCTACACCAAAACCAAGCATTAAACGGGTCAAGGAAAAAACTTACCTAAAAGACTCATAGTGAAAGACTGGGAAAATGAGACCATCAAGAAACTATTAATAGCCAGCAGGACAGCACATAAAATTTTTAAACTAAAAAAAAACGAAATAAGAAAGGTAAGAGTACACCACAGCATACTACTTAGATGAAAGTTATCACTTTAAATGAAAATTATTCAATTTCGAAAGGATTTCCTAAATCTAAATGTTACTTTTTCGGATTGAACATAACCAACCTTGACAGAAGTTTAGGCCTGAATTACTGGATACTGGGATGTTCTAAACATTCCTGATTGATGTTTTATCATACATTAACTACAACAGTCAATCTAATCTCACCAAATACTAAATACCACGATGACTTCCATTGCAATGTGAACTAAATGTAGTCAGTAAGAAACTTCAGAACTAGGTTTCGTGATATGTGGAAATCGTCAACAAGTTTCGTTCACAACTTTAAAGGGACCGATGCTCCCTGTAGGATCTAAATCCACGTCACTTATCTTCATAGTCTGAGATGCTACCAACTAACTACTCCACAAACAACAGACCCCTTGTAAGATATGCGAATAATCTTATATCACTAAAACTGGTGACTACAGCTTAACTGGATAAACAAGATAATGGTTATTACTCAATGAACAATCACTGTAGATTACGGATTATTTTCGACTGTGGTTAATAAGTGAAGATTAAACATATTTAAAAAGTGAACATACTGGAAATGAAGCTTTTGTATGAATATTGGAGAAATAAACTTGAAAATCATACTCGGAAGTATATCTGCCAACAGGACACTCTGTAAGACAGTTTTAAAGAAAAACAATAAAACAACCTACACCCGTTCCAATTTCTGTGCAATTTGTGTGAGATATACTGATGTTCTTAGTAAATTCGATTTGTGACTAGGAAATGAAAGAATACAAAATAGAAAGTTGATGTGAAATTGGTTAACTATTGTTTACGATGAATCAAGAATGCTCAAACTTCACTTTAACTACATGAAAATATTGTAACTGCGAACTAGTCAAGATGTTTTTACGTTTATTTAAACTGGGAAAGTCCGCAGTAATACTAGAAAGAATAAGCCCCTGCATGTTCAATCCGAAGATTATATGGAAATACTGACAAACCTATTTTATCTGATTAACAAGCCTTGGTTAATGATTAAAGGTATATAATATACAACTCTTACTAGAAACTTGATTTAATAGTTACCAAGTAATATATATTTTGAGCCATAATTCGTGTCCTCAAACTAATAGGGTCAAGTTTAACGGCTCACTTTAAAGTTATACATAAAGAGGAACTTCCGACCGTAGCTGCTACCTTGACGTGGTGGTCGGGCTTGCCTATTGTGACCACCCAACTGAGCTATATTGGCTGGAACATATGTTCCTGAAGGTTCAACCATGTCACACAGGTCGATTGGAGAACGATGAGACTAAAAGCAGCAACTTAAAGTCTGAGGGCTAAGTCGCAATGCTGAGATTTTTAAGGGTGGTGGTCCAGCTTTAGCAGTTAGATTGAACGAGATCTTAGGTAGAATCTGAGAACTGGACGTAATCCTATCCGAGTGGTCTCAATCACTGATTGTCCCAATCTATAACAAAGGACAAAAGTCCTCATGTGACAATCACAGTGAAATAAGTCTAACTAATATAGTTTATAAATTTTTAGCCTCGATTATATTCAGACGCCTTACTAGAGCTCGTGAAGAGCAGACTAGAGAAAACCAGGCTGCTTTTCGAACTAGACGTGGCTGCATAGACAACATTTTCACAATGCGACAGGTCCTGGAACACAGACACACATCTCTGCGTCCGACGATAGTTATCTTCCTGCACCTTGAGACGGCATTTGACTCTGTAGATCGCGAGCTTCTGTGGCAGTGTCTGTCATTGAAAAGTGTACCAAAGAAGTACATCAACTTTATACAGGCTCCCTACTCGAACACCACTGGTCGGGTGAGAGCATATGGCGAACTGTCATCGGAATTCTCTACTTTAAGTGGTGTCCTTAAGGGATGTCCACTCTCTCCATTCTTGTTCAATTTTGTCATAGACATGCTTCTAGAGTTAACATTATCCTCGTCTGAATTTTCAGGAGTGGACCTTCTACCAGCTGGCTCGCTTACTGACTTAGAACATGCCAATGACATAGTTCTATTCGGTGAAGACGCTGATAAAATGCAATCTTCTGACCACCCTAAGCAACAATGCAAGCATGTTCGGGATGCGGTTCTCACCCTACAAAAACAAACTGTTGCTTCAAGATTCGGTTGCGTCGGCACCTGAACTAGTGATAGGGAGTGAAGTAGTTGAACGTGTAGACCGCTTCACTTATCTCGAGTGTCTCTTCAACGCTGATGGCTTGCTGACTGACGAAATCTCAACACGGATACAGAAAGCTATATTGGCTTTTCCCAACTTACGTCATTTATGGCGTAGGCGAGATATCCGTTCGCTCACTAAAGGAAGAGTGTACTACGCAGCAGTTCGCTCCGTTCTCCTACATGGATCCGAAACATGGCCGCTAAGAGTAGAAGATATTCGTAGGTTACTGGTTTTCGATCATAGATGTCTTAGAAGCATTGCTCGTGTATCATGGGACAACCGAGTGAGCACTGCTGCCATTAGGAAACGAGTTCTACATAAGGACGGTAGGTCAATAGATGAACTAATGAAACTTCATCAGTTGAGGTGGTTGAGACATGTGTTACGAATGCCTAACCATCGACTGCCTCGACGAGCGATGTTATGTGGTGTAGGGGTAGGTTGGAAGAAAGCTAGGGGCGGCCAGATCGAAACATGGCACAAATCCATAAAGTCACTGACAAGCGGACTGAGTCATGTTGGTAGGTGTCGACTATCTGGTTGGGGTTAATTGTCGCAGGCTGAAACCTTACTGTAAATACTTTGTTCAGAGCAACCTATTGGGATTAACCCTCATAAACACAAAGGTATGGTTTGCGCACTGTCGAAAATCAGAGATACAAAACTCAGAGCTCTTCAGCAAACCGTAGTTTAGCTAAGATAGTGCACAGGATCTTCTACTGTACTTTTGGACAGAATTATTGCTTTGTGAGGTGGTATAATGCTCACTACATACCATAAATGAACGTAGGATCTAGTGATCGAAAATTGAGCATAATCGAAACTATACTCATTACAAAAACAGCTTCACCGAAGAGTTAATAACTACTGTTTAGGAAAAATATCTTACATGTTGCTGCTTTCGAATAATATCCGCGGCCGCACTTAACATGATCACATATGAGAAATTATTACCCAAACCAAAACACCTAATGTGAAAAAGTTACATAGATTTTTATTTGAATGACACAATATTTACCAGAAAGCTAACCAATTGCGGAGATTCAAATGGTTCCAACGGTAACGATACCTGCAACAACCTGAAAATCTGTTTTAAATCTTATCTTATTGATAACTACCACTAAGCATCACCAAATAGATATAGCAGTTACTGGGAAATAAAACTTGTCGGGAAAGTTATATAAAATGAAAGGATGTGTTCCTTCAACGTTTTGTAAGTTTGCGTTTAGCCGGAAGATACCTTGTGTGCTGGGGGGTGAGGTTATCTGAAAGAAGGAAGAATGAGAGAAAAAGATGAGCCAACGACTCAGTAAGCACATTGAATGCACTGACATCCAATGAGGAAATCAATAGACAGCAAACAGAAATAACTCCAGCATGAGATTAACACAAACCGATAAACGAAGGTATGGATTGTTAGAACCGTACCGAAGGAACAAAAATCGAGCGCAAAGAAGCTAACCGGTTTATACTAGCTTGTGGAAAAACTATTGGACATTGGCGAGTAAGGTTTCGAATGCGTTGCAGATAACGAACAAAAATGTGTCAGTAGATCCAAAGTCCAATATTTTTTCACGACCTAGCAGAAACCGACTTGTTCCTTTGAGCTCGATTCTTGTTCTTTCGACACTGTTCCAGTTATTTGGTAGTGTCCAATGGATGGTGTTCTAACCACTTGATTGCATTAATTCTAATCATTTGGCAGTTGATTATGAATTTGTATGCCATCTGATATGAATGAGTACGTTTGTTTCAGGGCATTAGGGTTTCTGGAACCAGCAACTATCACGTTATCCGGTCGGGGATCACTTAGTTCCAATGAGGAGAATAATAATCAGAAAATTCCAATGCTAATGAGAAAATTTCAGAACTAAGTAAATAAGTAGACATAGATTCATTGATTGGTAGGGAAAATCGTGCCACAGGACAGAAGTGTAAACGAGGGTAAGGAAACAGAGATGATAAGCGTTAGTTATCTGAGAAAATGAGGTGATTCTTCGGTAAGCTGCTCACGTTGGGATGATTGGGAGTGCTTAATATGTTGTACGCCATTACCAGATCACCTCTGATTCTCCTGTAAGTCAGAGAGAATTATCTCAAGTGCTGGAGTCTATCTTCGTAAGATTAATTCTTCAACACTATCACCCATTACGTTGCTCGTCTCTGCACTCGATCGAAGAGATTTATGTCTCTTGTGAATCTCAAGGTGTGAGCGTGCGTATGAGTTAAACAACGTTAAGAATGGTTCATATGTGATAGCACAAAGTTATTTTCGCATAAAGTTAAGGGAAGAAAAGCCTGGGATACATCCCTCGTACAGTTCGGACTGAAGTCCAGGACCTTTCGGGACGGAGGTAAAACCTCTCCAATCAAGCATTTTGTGTTATTCATTTTGGACCACTACCAGCATGATTCTACTGATTGCCACTCAACCTCATGTTCTGAGCACCCAATCGCTTTGAAGGAGTTACTCCCTGTGGGTCCACTTCGACGTCAGCGAAGTCAAGCGGTTCTGCATCGTTTCTCCACCGTCCTCTTCTCTTGTGATCATTAAAATGTCACTGAAAATCTTTTGCTACCCTGTCACCTTACTTATTATTATAATTACCATTGGATAATGGGGAGACTGTTGAAGAGATGAAGGATATGGTTGATTACCATGAAAATCAAGTTGCTTGACAAGAACATTCAAAACTTTGATCAGGTCAAGACCCATAAAATTTAAAGAGATTCATCAGTAACATGCCGTCTGGATATAATATTTAGACCACTAAATTTGATAATAAATTTGATAAATCGGGAAATTTTAACTGAAATGTCTAATGTATTCTTTATGCAGTCGGTAGTAGAATTGATACCTGGATGACCGAATTCGTGCTGCCTTCCGATAAATCAGTATTTGAAATTAGACAATGTGGTCATCGAGGTTTAATTAACGCAGTTGGGCGCTTAACGCAAAATGGTGCTGTCCAGATAAGTAAAGGGTTTTACATCTTCCAAGGCATCATCATCAAGAGCGATTTGGCTAATGTATGTTCTGTTATATCAGAGAATCTTGATTTATCCTTTACGTATTTTGAGACCTGATGCTGCTGCTACACTGGTCATCGTCTCTCCATTTATTGTTGCGTGTGCGATAGAAGGGCCTGATCATCTGCAAAGTCCAGCCGATTTCTAGTTGTCCACTGTATAACGTGTTTCTCCGCAGATGTTGATGTCTTCATAATTCAGTCGATCACCTGGAGAAAGAGAAAGGGTGAGAGTAAGCAACCTCTCCCTACACCAGTCTTCACCTCGAAAGAGTGTGTCAAATGTCCTCCGTGCACGATTTTGCAGAATAATACATCATAAGAATTCCGTACGATGTTGATATAGAGTTGTGAGTTCCACTCAATTAACTGTTCCACAATGATCAGTAATGCTTGAATTTGCTTGGTACACTATCAATCCTGACGAAATCCAGCATGTGGATCTGGAGGTCGGCCGTCTTCGAAGTCCTTCATTTTGTTTAATAGCACCCTGTTGAGGACTTTGCCTGGTATTGATAGAAGAGTAATGCTTTTTAGTTGTCATACTTGCTGAGATATTCTTTCTTTGGTGTGTTAATGAGGTATCCTTGTTTTCAGTCAAAAATCTTGTTGAAGGTAATGTGGAGTATGTTTGCAGTTGTTGCCACGTCTGCTTTCATTGCCTCAGCTGGAGTGATGTCTGGTCCAGCACCATTGTTACTCTGGATTTCTCTGATGGCCATACTGATCTCTGCAATTGTTGGTGCATCAGCATTGCTTGAGAGGTCCATGAATGCTGCTTCGATGTTGAGTGCGTCCAGCGGGGCCGGTTGATCCAAGAGTTCCTTAAAGTGCTGTATCCACCTGTTTCGCTGTTCTTCAATGTTGTTGATTACTTTGCCTTCCTTACTTTTCACTGGTCATTCTGGTTTACGATAGTTTGCAGCGACCTGTTTTGTTGTATCATATAGTTGTCTCATGTTTCCTGCTCTTGTAGCTTTTTCTACTTTCGTTGCTCGATTTTCCACACATCTCCGTTTCTCAGCTCAGATGCTCCTCTCCACTTGCTTGTTCGCCTCTGTGTACTCAGCCTGTGCTTTGGCTTTCTCTGCTTTTATTCGGCTGATGTTGATTGCTGCTCTCTTGTTCCTCAATTCTTGAATATTATCGAGAGTACCAACAGAGATGCATCTGTTTAGGTGGTGATTCTTGTGACCCGAAACCTCCTGACTTGTTGAAGTGCTTGCCTCATTGATCAATTTCCTATTGTTCCCCATGGTAGACTATATTCATATTGGCTAGATTTTGAAAAGCTTTGAATTTATTGATGAGGGCTATTTTGAACTCGTTGAACTTGACAGTATTCTAAGAATGGATGTATTTAGGTTTTGTGATGTTGTTGGACCAGTTGTCCAGTCTTCTTGAGTTTCAGCTTCATCTTGGCGACGGGCAGGTAATGTTATGAGGCTATATTAGCACTTCTCTTGGTTCTCATGTCCTCCATGTTGGAATGTGTTTTACAGATTGCAATCATCTCCATGTTGTATCAGTTCATTTTTGCAGCGATTTGGAACAGTCGTCGAATCTCTCACATTGTTTGGACACTCGATGTACCTAAAAGAATAATCGCTATGGTTGTGAGAATAGACATCAGCCTCGTGACTTCCGAGGGAACTTGGTTTTTGTTACGAGACGTCATAACTCTTCTCAATGAAGACGTTCTAACTCCGAGGGCATAGTGAACCTGATTTGAATTATTTTTTCTGGTTGGCGTTTCTTGGCGAGTTAATTTCCTGAGTCATAAGGTCACCAATCCCAAGCTCAACCCTTCTTTTTTATCCTGTCTTGAGATCGACAGTAGCTCCAGAGGCGCGCCAAACAGATTAGGGCCCTCAGCACGCCGTACCCGAATCCCGGCATGCAGGGCATAACCTCTACCCTACAATTTGCTTGTCACAACTATCAGACACCCATGAACATGTGAATGACGATAGAAGATTACATAATTAATAAAAGCCTCCAAGCCTACATTATTTTCTAAGTAACGTCCTGCTTCTAGTCAAGGGTGTGATTGTCCACGGGCCGAGCAGAAGTAAGGATCATGATACGACCACGCTTAACGTGATCAGCCAATCGATATTTTGGAGGGACTATAATGCTCACTACCTTAGCTAGACCAGAGCAGACAACGAGTGAGCATTTTCTACATATCCCATTGCTACGAGAGTGGTATATGCTAACAGTAGACGGCCGTAGTAGGATAATGAGAGATATCGTCCGGGACACTATCCTCCACAATTCACCCCATTATAATGTGTTCTCCTGAAATAAGAGAGGTGCAGAAAACTTTCTACAGGCCAGAGGGAGAGCCTGGAACAAACTGAAGGTCTCCATGGAGTCTTCTGAGCGCAGACATTACAAGACGTTGAGAAACATACACAACAACCACGATTAGGCACACTTTCAGAAAAGGCAAGCAGCCAAAATTCGGCTGGTCCCGAAACACTTCTTCTGGAACCTTATTAAAAGAAAACCTGAGAATCCATATAGATGTTCTCCGAACTTTCAGCTGGAGAAGGTCTTACTAACTTTTAGACGACTCAAACATCTTATGTTAATTTAAACAAACAACTGAACCAGGTACACATAAGCTTAGTGCACTACTCAACTACACTGATGATCCGGAGTTACTCCATTAACTATCGGGTCAGTACTGAAAAAACGCAATCATCAGCCAGGGTATGACAGATCCAACTTTATAACCCTGGAGCAGTATGTGGAGGCCCTCAATTCACGGGTGTGTAATCTGTCCAGGCATTGAGTGGAACTTTATCAGCCTAGGTTTGGTAGTTACGGGCTGGCCGGATACACCAGTTAAGACTGAAACACTACATTTGAAGTGATCATTCATTTCAATATTCATTGTAGGAGTTATATTTCATATTATCGCATTTTGAATGTTGAAAGATCTGTGTCATGGGAACCGCAGTACTGACTCTACTGATTTAGTTCGATTGTGCAATGATTCTGCTTTGTAGCGCCGAGACCCATATTGCGTCTCTGTATGTTAGTGTCACTAAGACAACTGTAATTCACATAATTTCAATACTGTTGTACTAGTGAATAGAACTTGTGGTAGACGAGTGAAGGTTAAGTGTCACGGTTAGTTTCTTTAATTCTGGTTCGATAGTTGGAAACAACTAATTACACCGTATTTCAATATCAATATGGATGTGGATATTGCTACTTTGATAGTCTGTTTGTTTTAAATTATAACCTTCCCAATACACTGCGCCGTTAAATAAGACCGTAAATAAAGACCTACTCTGACCAAATTTATAGCTTTTTACATATATATATATATATATATATATATATATATATATATGATTATCACGCATCTATTATAACTCATTTATGACTAATTATTCGTCTTTGGATTAGTTTCCTCTATTCATACTCCACTGATATTTTATCATATACAAAAGGTCAGCTTCAAAACTGGATGAAAACCCATAGAAACAGACACTGCTGTGAATACAATATCCTGACTCCCACAA